TGTGCACCCCCACTCATGGGGGCAGTGGACAGCCAGCCACTGAGCGTTTAGCGATGTGGTGCAAGCCTTGCAGACCCCAGGGCTGGCAGAGTCCCAGCCAGGGGCAGAACTGTGGTCTCAGAAAGGGGGTCTCAGGGGGGGGGGGGGTGACGCAGGGAAGCATGAGGGGCAGGACATGAGGGTGTGGGAGCTAGTGTGCCCTACTCACCGAGGGCTCACTCTGGAGGTGGCCTCTGTGGCCCTGCATCCCTGGCCGCTGCCACCCTTACCCCAAGCCAGGCCTCTTTTGGGGGGCAGAGGGCGGGCCCTGTGGGGGTGCGGGTGGGGGCACCCATGGTTTCCCTCCCCCCTCCCAGTGCCAGGCCGGAGGCCTATGGTGGGGAGGTGGGCTTCAGGGAGGGTGAGGTTGGAGTCGCTGAGTGCCTGTGGGGAGGCCAGGAGCCCCTGGGTCCTGTCAGAGGATGGTCTCCAGCACCTTCCAAGAAGATGGGGGCCTGGATAGGCCCAGGGTGGTTTGGTGTTGAGAGATGGGTGTGTCAGCAGATGAGGAGGAGGGTGGGAGCCTAAGGGAGGGACATGGGCAACCCGGAGAAAGGGAGGAAGGGTGGGGCGTGGGGGGCCGGGGTGGGGGGAGGGGGCTGCGGCGCTGGGGGGCCAAGGGGCTGGGGCCTCGACAGGGGGCTGGAGCTTAGCTGAGGAGCCAAGAAACTGGGTGTGGCCGGGGGAGGATCCGTTGAGCAGGCAGAGGGGACACCCCCCCCTTCCCCCCCCTCCCAGCAGAGAGGAGAGGACTGTGGCCAGGGTGCCAGTGGCCAGGAGGGAATGGCCTAGCGGGCAGGGACTTCCTAAGGGGGACATGGAGTCCGGGACCCCAGCCAGGCTGAAGCCTAGGTCTGGGCTGAAAGGCGGCTGGGAGACCCCGCCAGCCCCCTGGACACTTCCCACTCCCAGGGTGGGTGGAGTAGGACGGTCTCCACCTGGCACCGGCCCGCACTTGCCCTGGGCGTCGGACTTGAGCCACTCCCGTCTTGCGCTCTCGTGCTCTTCCCGAAGAGATGCCCTGTGCGTGGCCGCGCCCACCCCCGCGCTCACACTGGTCACTGTTACCGCGGAGGGGAGGGAGGGGGCGTCCCGTCTCGAAGTCCCCTCTTCCAAATTTCCGGGTTGCTGTCCAATGGACTTCCCAGGCAGCGGCGGGGGTGGAGGGCTCGCAGAGGCCGGGATGTCCCTTGGGGGTGGGGGGCTGGGGAGGGGTGGGCGTCCTAGCTCCGCGTGTGATGAAGGCCAGAGGGGAGATTCACGGGGGGAGGGGCTACAAGGCTGAGACGTCGCTGGTCCCCAGCCCTCTGTCTGGGAGAGGGTCGGGTCAAAGTGTGTGGGGAGAAGGAAGTTCGCACACGCTGGTTTGCATCTATTTCCATTTTATCGGTGACTCCCTGGATCCCAGCTATCTGGGGCTCGGAGGACTGGTGTCGGAGGACTGGGGACAGGGGCTGGGGCGCTGGGGGGCCGGGGCTTCCTGGCCCTGGGGAGCCCCTTCCCTAGATCCCGGACCCTGGGCAAGGGGCGGGGCAGTAGCCCCCGGAGGAGCCCCGCCCCTTCAGCGCATCCCCAGGGATCCCATGCGCTCCTTGAACCGCCCCCCTACCCCGTCGTCAGTTAGGCCCGATGCTGCCTGAAGGCGGGGGTGGACCAGATGACCTTTCTTGGCTGGTTGGCCTGGAATCCAAGTCCCCGGGTCCAAATCCTGGACTCAGGGGGCGGGGCTCGAGGGGCGGGTCCCAAAGGGGCGGGGTCTTGGGGTCCCTGAAAGGCGCACACCCCGCGGGACCCACCCAGTCCGGCTCTCCTGTCTGCTCCTGACCGGTCGTTCACGCCTGACCCCTTGCCGCCATGCCCAAGTGCCCCAAGTGCGACAAGGAAGTGTACTTTGGTGAGCGCACCCCTCCCGCCCCCCGCCCCCCTCCCCGGCCCACTCCCGGCCGGGACCGCGGTGCACCCAGGGACTACGAACAGGGCTTCTCCGGAGGGCTGGGCGCGCTGGGGACCCTGGGGCAGCGTGCCGGGAGCCGACACTTCAGCCCTGCCGGCGACGGCTTGGGTATGCGGATCAGGACCCCTGTGTGGGGTGGCCCGAGGTCTCTGCTGATTCGACGTCTCTGGCCCGCTCTCTCTCCTTCGGTCCCGCTGGGTCTCCCCGATTCTGGGTTCCCCCTTCTCTGGGTCTCCCTGACTCTGGGACTCCCCGTCGCTGGATCTCCCCAACTGTCCCGTTCCCCCTCGGCGCGCCCTGGGCGGGGACCGCGCGGCCAAGGAAGAAACGCTGCGCTCTGGCCGCCCCTCCCATAGCTAAGTAGAAACAGACGCGGAAACCGGCGCCCGGGGCGCGATCCCGGGCGCGCTCACACCCCGGGTGCCGCCTCCCTGCCCCGCGCCCCGGGGCCCACCCAGGAGAGAGGCGGGAGGAAGTGGGAAGGGTCTCCCCCGCCTTCGCCCCGGAGAAGGGCGCCTGCAGGCCCCATCTCCGACCACCCCCGCAGGTCACCCAGGCCCCCCACCCTGGCCCTCGAGGCCTCTTCCTGCAGCTCCACGCAGCGCCCCCTGCCGTTTGTTTGGCTGGACACGCCTAGGGGACTGGGGGTGCCCCTCCCCACCCACGGGCACGGAGGCCAGCTGAGACCCTGGGTGGGCCACCAGGCGGGCGTGGGTGAGACCATGCGCAGAAGGAGCTGGCTGTTATGTTAGCAGACGGGTGTGCCCTGTGGCCCCAGAGCAATGTCTTACAGTAGGGGAGGGGTGTATGTACCTCTGCAGCTGAGCGGGTGACCTCTCTGGGGAAGGACTGGCACCGGCCTTGCCTGAAGTGTGAGAAATGCGGAAAGACGCTGACATCAGGGGGCCACGCTGAGGTAGGTGGGGCCCGGAGGGCAGTGGCGGGCGCAGGGTGAGGGGTGACAGCCCCTCATGGCCCTTGTCTCTGCAGCATGAAGGCAAGCCCTACTGCAACCACCCCTGCTACGCCGCCATGTTCGGGCCCAAAGGTACGCTTCCTACGCATGGCCCCTGCGCTGCCTCCCTCCTCCCCCCAGCCTCCCCAGCACCTCCCCCACCCCTCAGCCTGGTAACCTGCCTACTCTTTTCTCTGCAGGCTTTGGGCGGGGTGGCGCTGAGAGTCACACTTTCAAATAAACCCAGGTACACCCCCATCCCCCAGCGCAGACCCTCAGGCCTTCAGGATGGTCCCTGCACTCCCGGGTGAGGCCTGACTGCTCACTGGACCTGCACTCACTTCTGTCCTCTGACCTCTCTGCGCAGGTCGTGGAAACGCTGTCCCTGGTCCACCGGGCCACTGCCCTTCCAGGCTGATTCCAGGCCTTATCCCCAGGCACCCGGGGCTCCCCTGTAGTCTCCCTTGCCCTCAATAAAGCTGAGCACTCAGAAGCCCTGCCTCTGTGTGTGTGTGTGTGTGTGTGTGTATGTGTATACATGCCCGCTGAGTGCACTGACAGGGTGACAGGGGGATGGTTCAAGGGAGCCGCCACTGGGGGTTCTGACTCCTGGCCCTGCCAGGAGCCCTGCTCTTCCTGCTGTGCTGTTCCCCGGGGCTGCCACAAGGCTGAAGCTTCCTCTGCAAGGCAGGCGGCCGGCCACCCTGGAAGGCCCTGTGGTGGCTCAGCTCCCCAGCTCCCAGGCCCCCTAATGCCCCCTCGGTTCAGGGATGGGGCTAAGGGTGGGTCAACAGGTCAGCGGGAACATGAGGCCTGGTAGTCGGTTGATGGTGGCCACAGGGTGAATCGGCTGTGCTCAAGCTGGTTCCGTTTTTTGAGAAGCTTTCGGGGCCTTGTGGTGGGGAGTCCTCGCCTGCTCTCTCCACTTCCTGCCCACCCTTGTCTCCATTCCCCACCTGCCTTGGTGGACCAGGCCAGCCACGTTCCTGCAGGGGCATCTGCCTGGACAGCACCGCCCCTCTTTTTGCACACCCTCCCTCCAGAGTAGCAAGTAGCCAGCGGCCAAGTGGGGAATTTGAGGACTAGCTGGGCAGTGGCTAGTTGGGGGCTTTCTGGAAATGCCCATGTCAGTCTGGCAGCAGCTGCAGACTGGACCACACTCATTACCCCCACTGGCCATTCAGTCTCCAGTCCTGGCAGAGGGCCACCGCTCCCAGGCCTCGGCCCTACCCAGGCCTTGCAGGGCTGAGCTGGACGGGCTGTTGGGGGCCTCAAGGGCTGCGTGTAGGGTGTGTGTGTGTGTGGGGGGGGGGTTGTTGGGTGGCTCACAGAGCTCCAAAGGGTGGGAGCCAGGGTGCATCTGGTGGGGAGGGGGTGGGAGAGAACAGATGGTGCTAAGGTGAGGCCGGGTTTCTCAACACCGTGGAAGGGAGGGGGCTGGGGCTGAATCTGAGATTCAGCGGTGTCTTGCGCCACAGCGAGGAGTGGGGGTACCCCGGAAAATCTGGGCCAAGTGCTGGGGGGGGGCAGCGCTGCCCCCGTGTAGCCCACAGCCAGGTGGGACAGTTGAAGGGATGAGGCCTGCCGCCAGAGGGGGCCTGACCAGGCCAGGACGCAGGAGAGCACTTCAGGTGGCACACTCAGAGAGAAGACCCGCTGGGCTGGGCGGGTGGCTCAGGGGTGTGGTCTTTATTTTGATGGCCGCAGGGCGCTACGCCTGGCTCAGCAGAGTGGCCTGCCTGCGGGACCCGGCACGGCGAAGCTGGGGGCCTGGCAGTAGTGTCCCCTGCCCGCGGGGCAGGTGACCGGCCCCGCGACGGTGTGTGGGGTGGGGATGGGGGTGGAACACAGGCCTAGGAGCGGGCCGCGCGGGAGAGAGGGAGGAGGGCAAAGGTGGGGACCTGGGGCGCCGGGACCCGCCGCCGACGCACTTCCTGCGGGCGTGGCCCCCGCCGGGGGGGGGGGGGGGGGGAGCGGTGGAGGAAGCGTAGGAGGGTGGCGTGGGCAAGGCGAGGGTCGGAGGGCTGGTGGCTCTGTCCTCCCGACCTCTTCGCTGAGGTGTCATTCACGTGCCACACGTACAAAATTCGCCCGTGCCGTCCGTCAGCTCTAACCGATGTGCAGGGTTCTACAGCCGCCCCGCGTGCCCGCGCGCGCCACCTGCTGTGTGGGGCGTTTCCTACGCGCACCGTGGACACGCGACAGCGCTGAGCGCCCGGCGCCTTTCACGAGCCGGGGCGTCCGTGCGCACTGCCGGGCTCTGGGACCGCGGGCGAGCGCTTCGCTGCCCTCCCTGGCACCGCGTCCTCGGCCGCTCCTATGCGGCGGCGGAAGGAGACTTCCTGGGTGCAGAACAGCGAGACCGGGAGGACCGGGCCGGGGTCCGGGTGTAGGTTTGGGGTGGGAAGGGGGCCGCCCGCATCCCGCGGGAACCCTTGGTGAGCGGCCCGGCCGGGCTCGCGGAGGCACAGGGACGCCCGCGAGGGTCGGCGGCGCCTGGCTGCGTTGCGCTCCCGGCCGCAGGGGGCGTCCGGAGCGCGGCCCAAAGCCCTCCGCGGGTTGCTAGGCTGCCATTTGGCGCTAAGATGGGTGAGGCGCTGATTGGTGGGGTCTGGACGAGGCGGCTGTCGGGTGTCGCAGCGACTGGGCCACAAAAAGCGTACCCCGGAGCTGTCGTCGCCAATTGGCCCCGAGAGCACCGGAAATGCCTGCGCACTGGACAGAAGAGACTGCACTCAAAGGCCGGGGGCACCGCTCATTGGGCCGACGCTGGAGGCGTGTCTCGGCCCGTTCGGTGATTGGGCGTGGGCCTAGCAGAGACGGCACGGGCGCGGTGATTGGACGCTGGGACCCAGCGGCCGCGGCGCGCAATCCGAGGAAAGTCAGCGCAAGCTGCATGGGGCGGCGGCGGCGCAGGGTGGACCGGGGAGCCGCGGTCGGGGCCTTGCCCGAGGCCATCGCCGCGCTGAGTCGGACGCTGCCCGCTGGGCCCAGCCCCGAGATCTTCCGCCGCGCCAAGTTCGACCGTCCGGAGGCGGTGAGGCCCGCGGGGCAGGGGGCCGGGTCGGCAGGAGCCGGGGAGGACGCAGGGCGGCGGCCGGCCCAGCTGACTGTCGCTCTTCGATCCCCGCAGGCCCCGGCGCTCTGGCAGCTGCTCTTTCGCGTGCTCTCGCCGCTGTCAGCCAACGGCGCCTCGGCGCCCGCAGCCCAGGGTAAGCCCCGCTCCGGGGAGGCCCTGGCTCCGCCCACTCACGCAAGTCCCGCCCCGTTCATCACTCCCTAGAGTGAGCCTTGCCCCGTGGGCCCTGGCTCCTCCCACTCGCCTCGCTGGGTCCCTCTCCTGTAAGGCCCCCTGAACGGCTAGCCCCGCCCCTTCAAGCCCCGCCCAGGTGGGCCATTGCCCCGCCCACCCACCAGGGGCCGTCCAACTCACGCAAGCCCCTCCCCGGTCGAGCACGTCCAACAGTAAGCCACGCCCTGTTGGCCTTCGCTCCTCCCACTCACATCACGAGGTCCGCCTCCTGTAAAGTCCCAAACGGGTTAGCCCCGCCCCCCTGGCAAGCCCCGCCTCAGGCGGGTCGTGGCTTCACCCGGTCCACCACGCTCCCAGCTCTGGCAAAGCCCCGCCCACCTCATAAGCCGTGTCCCCATTAGCCTTGGCTCTCTCATCCTGTAAGTCCCCCGATTGTCCCCTCCTAAACCTGGCCTCTGCTTGGGGGTCATGCGGGGGTCCCTAAAAGGTCTGGTGGCGCACTCCTAATGGGTGGCTCCCTGGAGCAGGCGAACCCCCATCTACAGAGGCCCAAGTCCGAGTGGTGAAGTCGGAGCTGCACTCCCAGGGCTACCCCAGGCGGGCGCTGGCACAGCTCCCTGAGGACGGCTCCCAGGGCAGTCGCGAGCTTCTGCTGGCCTTGGCCTGGCTCCTGGCCCGCGGGCCCCTGCTCGAGCGGCTGCTGGCCCAGACCCGCGTGCGGCTGGGCGACGAGATACCCCTGTGCGAGGTGGGTGTGGGGTGAGAGGGAGTGGGGCCGGGTCCTGGCTGGGACCCTGGATGCGGCCTGGGACAGCCCTGTGGGGTGGGTGTCGCCCTCTCCACTGCTCTCTCCTCCCCCCCTGCCCTTCCCTTGGGGGCAGTGTTGGGTGTGTGCTCACTGGACGTGGGTGTGTGGCACCCCTGAGGACCATGGCACTCATTCCAGGGGCCTCTTTTCCTGGGGTCTCTGCTGGGGGGGTGGGAGCAGGGCGTGACCCTTGTCCCTCTCTAGTGTGAAGCCCTGGCCAGGCCTGGCCCCCCTGTACCCCGTGTGGAAGCAGATGGCCCTGTGGACATACGCCACTTGCAGTGGCTGATGGGAAAGCTGCGGTTCCAGTGGCGGAAGCTGATCACCAGTCAGCAGGAGCAGTGTGCCCTCCTGGGCAAGGTACTGTCACCGGGGACTGTCCCCCGGGGACACTTGCTGTCCATACTACAGGCTGGAGCCTGGCCTTTGGCTGGATGTGGCCCTTCCCAAGCCTGGCTGGGAGCTGACTGGTTGGCCACTGCCCTGTGGTGGCCCAGAGCCTGAGCCCAGGGCTCCAGGTGGTCCAGGAGGGGTCATAGGGCAGGTGGAGCTGGGCATCACTGGGGCCAGGAGCCTGTGGGGTTGACTTTCCTGTTCCCGGAAGTCATCAGAGGCCTCAGACTCTGTCTCTGAGCCACGAAGTAGGCTCTGGGTGCTGTGGGAGCCGCTGCTGCCTGGGCATGTTTTGGGAAGGAAGGTACCCCCTCCTTCTGCCACATCCTGGGTGGAGGCTGATGGGCAGCGGGCGGCTTCTGTAGAGTGCCCGAAGGCCACTAAGGCTCAGCTGTGGGGCACAGGTCACCCTTACAGGTCCAGTGCAAAACCTGGGCTGAGAGGGGGTTGGGCGGGGGGCCTCAGACTCCCACCGATGTAGGGCTCCTTGATGCTGGGACCCCCCCACCCTGCACGTCTGCCCCTGCAGGGGACCTGTTCATCCCTCAGCTCTTCTCCGGAGCTGTGTCGCTCCGGCTCGGACTGGGCTCCTGTCACTCCTCCTGCTTGGGACATGGCCACCAGTGACCTCCGTGATGCCTTGAGGCCGGACCTTGCTGGGAAGCCTTCCCTGTCCCCCAGGTCCAGACAGTCACTCTGCGTCCTTGCCATTGTCTTCACTGGATCTCCTAGCCTGTCCAGGGGCTGTTTCTCCCACCACACGGACCTGGCAGTCAGTGAGCTTAGAAGCAGGGATGCCCGATTCCAGTTCCACCACACCCCTGGGAACTGGGCAGGATGGGGAAGCTGTAGGCGGCACTGCCCATACCCCACTCTCTGCAGGAGCCTCCTGCAGGGCCCAGGGCCAGCTCCCCAGTGGTGCTGACTATTGTCCTGAGCCTGACCCTGGCCTGCCCTGACCACCTTGGCCAGGCATGGCCCATTTTCCTCGTCTGCAAGGCAGGCCCCCAAAGCCTCACCTGGAGCTGGGAGAGGCGCCCCTTCCTACTCAACCTGGGGTTCACGTTGCCTGTTTCAGATCCACTCATACACCCGCGGCTGCCACAGTGACCGCAGCCTTGGCCACCTGTCTGTTGCTGAGACCGAGCTGCTCAGGGACGCGGAGGGCGGCCAGCAGGTGAGGGCTGGTGCGTGTCGGTGCCACAGGACTGCAGACGGCGTGAGGTGGTGGGGGTCGAGGTGGGGAGGGTCCTGGGAGGGAGGACCCAGGCGACCGGCTTTGAGCTGTGGGTGACTGCCCAACTCACCATCTTGCTGGTGGGGGGTCCCAGACATGTCCTCAGGGCCTCCCCCAGCTCCCAGACCATCCGGTGTTGCAGAAATCCAGGCCACGTGGCCGTGTGTGTGCGTGTGGCTGGGCACAGTTAGCGAGGGAGGGGGGCTGGTCTAGCGTGCCCCGTCCTTCGCTGACTTTCTTTTCAGGACGCCCCCGTCTGTCATTATTGTTTCCTTCCCTCAGGCTGGCATGGCCAGGACGTCCTGGGACAGGCCCAGGGCTGGCTGTCACTTGACGGTTGGGCTCTGGCTGGTCCAGAGTGTGAGGCTGGCACTGTCCAGCCTGGGGGGCACTTGGCCAGGCAGGTGGGCTGAGGCTCAGGGCTGGTGTGGCCCCTCTTGCCAGGCCCAGCGGACCCCAGCTCGGGAGGTGTGTGCTTTCAGAGAGTTGTGCCTCCCTTTGTGGGGTTGGGGCAGCCACTGGGGGGGGGGGGGCGCTTGCCAGGCCTGCAGTCCTGGCCAGCACGTGGCCAGCCCTCCCAGGCAGGGCTGCGCGCATTCTCTGGAAGTGCTGAGGCGGTATCTTGGCGACCTGAGGTGCCCTCGGCCAGGTCCCCTTTTACGGGTGACTCAGCGAGGCCCAGGCTTCCTGCCCTTGGTCCCTCTGGGTTGGAGCAGGGCTGAGGCTGCGCCGGCTTCAGCCAGATGTGGCCTGGGGTCCCGGTCTCTGTGGTGGTGGTGGGTGGGAGCCCGTGGCGCACCCCCCCCCCCGAAGCTGGGGCGTGCGGGCGCCTCCGGACTGCAGACGGCGTGAGGTCGTTGGGGGTCACGGTTGGCTTCCTCCCAAGGTTTCTGGAGGGGTTGCTGGCAGAAGCCCGGATCGGTGTACCCAAAGAGCCCGCACTCTTGGGATGGGTCCCAGAAGCTTCTGGAGTGATCTATGGTTGCTGTGTGAGTGGCCAGGCGTGCTGCGGAGTAGCTGGACAGTGAGCGTGCTTGGTTACTGGCCGGACCTGCAGCCCTTCTCATGTCCCTGTGCCTCCCCGCCTGCCCTGGCCACAGCGCAGTGGCATGCGGCGGGGAGGTGGCTGCCTCAGGAGACTCCAGCACGGGGCCTGCACGTGGGGGGACAGTGGGGGCGTGTTGCCTCTTCCTGCCGTGCCTGCCCTCCTTCCCATAGCCTGGGAGGTGGGGAGCACCTGGGGACCGTTCCACATTCACTGTGCGTACGCGTACCGGGACGTGGGTGCACCTGGCACCCTCCGGGCTCCAGGCCGCGCTCCCCTGGGCCCACAGAGTGGTTCTCTCTGTGCCTGGCTTTACAGCGACGGGCTGGGTCCTTGGCTTGGCATTCAAGGCCGCTCCCCACCTGGCCTCCGGACCCCTGGAGCCCCAGGTTCCTGCTGCAGCAGCAAGCAGGCCCCTGGTGGCTCGGCTGGCAGCCTGTTTGCTGTTTGCAGGGGCAGAGCAGGGGTCCCTTCCCGGCCAGGGGAGACCCTGGGTCACGGGTGCCTGTCGTACAGGGCCCGCGCACTGGCCCTCCGTGAGCGGTGGCTTGTCAGAGCTCTTGTGGGGCCACCGTGCTCTGGCGCTTTGTCCGGCGCACCTGTCTTCCAGAAGGAGCAGTGCCTGTGGCCTGGATGGTAGGCTGGTGGCTGCCTTCAGAGAGGGGCCACAGCAGGTGCAGGCCTGTGGCTTCCTGAGGGGGCAGCGGGGGCGGGATGGAGTGGGTTGGGGGTGGGGGGGAGGCCTCAACAGCACCTCCCCGGTCGGTGGGCCCCCTGGTGGTGGAGGCCGAGGCTGGGGCAGGTGCTGCTGCGCTCCAGCGCGCCCACATGTTCCTGCGGGGTCTGCAGGTTTGGGGCTGCGTGAGCCGGGCGGGGGGCTGTGCGGGGTGCAGCTGGGCCCTGCATGCCGGTGCCCAGGCCCAGCCTCCGCCCTGCCTTCCTGAGGTTATACAGAGGGTTTCCCGCCCCGAGAGCCTGGCAGGCTGCCCCTTCTGGGACCTCCTCATCTGCCTACAGTCTCCCCGGTGCAGCCCCCCAGTCAGTGAGGGATGTGGGGCAGAGGTCCCGAGTCGGCGCTTGGGCTCAGCCCCTGACCCTGTGGGGACGGTGGGTGTCTCTGAGGCCCCAGCCTGGAGGTGGGGCTGCCGTATCCTGCCCGCTGGGGGGTGGCTCTGCCATGGCGGGGCCAGGGGGACTGGTGAGCACGGTGGTCGGGTGCTCGGTGCCGGGGGTCCCAGGTGGGGTTGTGACCCGGCCGCGGTTTATGGTCTGCTTTGCAGCTGCTTCGGAGTCTGGAGAGCGAGAATGTGCGCCTGGAGGCAGCCCTGCATTGGAGGCGCCAGGAGCTGGTCTTCTGGCTGTGGATGGTGTGACTGGCTCCCCTCCCTGTCCCGGCCTTGACCACGGCAGCCCCGGGGTGGGGGCGTCTTCCTAGTTCTCGGAACGGAAGAGGAGGTTGGGGGAGGCCACAGGCACACCCAGCCACCAAGCTGGCTTTGCAGGCCGGCTGGCTCTGAGTCTCTGCCTCTTTGCTGATGTCTGTCTGTCCGTCGCCTACCCTGCCCGGCTGCTGGGGAGCCCAGACTCCTCAGGGGTCCACAAGTCTGGGTGCCTCCCTGGCTTCCAGCTCACTGTGCCACCGGGGGGGGGGTGGCCGCTGCCCCCGGGCCTCTATGCCCTCTGTCCCCGTTGGCCGAGGGGCTGGACCTGGGGTCGAGGCCCGGACAAGCTGCCTGCCACTCACTCGGTCTCTCTCCGCAGGACACAGTCCTGGGCACCTGCCCTCCAGAGGCCTCGCAGCCCACGTTTGTGCCGCGGATCCCCGAGCGGGGGGCTGGCGAGTGGGAGCTGGTGGCCCGCGAGCTGCAGGCCCTACGGGAGGAGTTGCGGGGAGCCGCGGAGCCCCGGCGGGCAGCCTGGGAGGCCAGGGTGAGAGGGCTGGGGGCTGGTGTTGGGGCCGAGGGGGCCCGAAGGCCGTGTCCTGGGCAGGATGTGGCCGCCCCTGGTTCACGAGCTGCCGTCCGCCCCGTGCAGGTTGGAGGCTGGGGGCCTGAGTGGAGTGCGGTGCAGCGGGCCTCACGGGAGGCCGTGGGACTCGAGCTGGCGGCTCTTCAGCGGGCCTGGGAGCGAGGTGGGGCCGCAGCCCAGCCCCACGGGCCCTGCCGTCTGGTGAAGAGTGACGCCGGAGCCTCGGGGGGCCCAGGCCTGCGGGCGGCCCAGGTGATTGAGGTGCTGAGGAGCCGGGAGGCCTGCCTGGAGGCAGTGCTGTGCCAGCTGCAGAGACAGTGTCGGCAGGAACTGGCCAGGCTGGTGGGAGCCCTGCCCGGCCTCATCTGGATCTTGCCACCCGGTCGTTGAGGCCCTGTGCCCGCCTCGAGGGGGACCTGCCCTGACCCGCCCCGGTTGGGCCTCGGAGGGGCAGATTTCAGGGTGGTGGCAGGGACGACGCAGACACAGGGCCCCAGGCATGGTCTCCCTGAGCCCTGGGGCTGTCCCCACCTGGGGCAGAGCCCAGCCCCTTGGCTAGTAATACTGGGGGCAGGCATGACAGGCCCAGTGTGGAGTCCGTGGGCCCTCAGGACCAAGAGAGGACCCAGAAATAAGTCGTAGAGACCTCCCTGCGGGGGTGAGGCTCTGTTCTGGCCCTCCCTCTGCCACCCTTCCAGGTTCCTATCTGGGGCAGGCTGGGGAGGGTCCGGTCCGTGCTCAGGCCCAGGGGAAGGGGACCCTGGGGGGGTGGTTGCCGAAGCTGGGCTGGTCCAGCGCTGCCCAGGTGCTGGTGGGTCAGGCATGGCCTGCAACACGGCGTGGGGATCGGGGTCCTTCGGGGGATTGCCCCGCATGCCCCCTACACACTGTGCCCCGGGCCCCTACTGCACACCCCGCCCTGTGGGTGCCTGGTGTGTGCGTGGGGGGCAGGGACGCCGGCTGGGAGCCCGGGGGTAGGGGGCTCTGCTCCTCTCCCGGGAGCGGTGCTGGGGGTGAGGGGGAGGCCACTGTGGACAGAGGGGGCTTTGTTCCCGAGACCGGTCGGGGAGCTGGGCTCGGCCCTGACAAAGAGCCATCTGTGTCTGGGGGATGCGCCCCCAGCTTGCCGGAACAGGCCCCCTCCATCCTGGGGGCTCAGCCTCTCGGCACCCCTCACCCAGCAGGCGCAGACAGCCGCGTCCCTGCCTCCCTCGCCAGGCTCCCCTGTCCTAGGGCGGTTGAACCCCAGGCTGCTGCTGGGCGGGCCTAGGGTCCTGTCCTCGGCCTCCTGCTGCCAGCCAGTTCAGGCCCGAGGACACTTCCACGCCTGGGCCCCCGCAAGAACATTCTCTCACTGGCTCTTCCTGCCTGGCTGGCGTGTTGCTGGTGTTGCCTGGTCTCCGCCAGCCTACCCCCACCCCGACCCCCGTCCCTGGGGGGCGTCGGGTTCTCCCCTCCCCACACGGCCCCCTCCCAGCTCCTCACGTGCTCCAGCTGTGGCCCGGGGCCTGTGGGGCCCCGGCCCTCCACCTGTCGCCTCAGTGTGTGAAGTCACTTCTAGAACCCCTGCCTGCTGGGCCCTCCGCCATCCTCCTAGCCGCTGGACAGGACCCTTCCTGGAAACAAGTCACTCAAAGCTCCCTGTCCTCTGTGAGTGCCATTGAGTCAGGACACCCACTGGCCCCCGAGAACGAATTTTAGAAACCAAATGCAAACTCAGTGTTCTGGAGCTGTCCCTTCTCAAACTGCTCTGTGGATCCAATACAGCCCACTCGAGACCCCACGTGTGTCTGTGTGTCTGTGGGAGTTCGGCGCGGATTCTGAGAGACACGAGGTGCCACAGGCCAAGTCGGGGGGAAGCGAGGCACACTCGGTGGTCCAGGAAGCAGGCTGGGCTCTGACATTGGCTCCTACTGTTGCCGCCACGTTAGCACGCGCTTAGTGGCTCAGAAGCACAGAAGCATGGCCGCCTTCCTGTAGGCGGGGCCGCAGCCATCACGGTCCCCGGCCCCCAGCCCCGGTCGGTCAGGGACCTGAGTCCTCTTCTGCACGTGACATGGCAGGTCCGCAGGCCTGCGGCAGGGCCTGGGCGCCACCCAGCCCCCTGCGGCCCCACGGAACAGATGCAGGCCTGGCCCAGCTAGCTCGAGTACGCGGGTTCTGCCTGGGACAGGCCCGTGCTGTGGGGGCCCAGGGTTCCCCATGGAGATGTGAAGGCAGAGGAGCCTGTGGGGGCCCAGGACCCCATACTCCACTGGCCCCCATGGACGCCAGAAACTTCTGCTTAACGGAGACCCCGTAAAGACCGGGAAAGACAGGCCACGGGAGAATCCGTTGGCGACACTTGTAACCTGTGAAGAGAGGGTAGAGGAAACGGTTTTGAGGAAGACAGAGCGGGCCTGGGGCAGGCGCCGCGGGGAGGAGGAGACGGGGTGGTGATGTGCCCGCAAGCCGCTGGGTGGGCGCAGGGCCTGCGCAGGGCAGGGGCTGGCGGGCCTGGGCCAACGCTGGGGACGGCCGCCCGGCAGCCGAGCCAGGAAGAGCAGACTGTGGGCGATGCCGTGGCCAGGACTGGGAAGGTGAGGGGAAGTACAGACGGGCCGCAGAAGGTGACGCACGGGGAGGCCGTGGGGAAGAGCCCAGTGACCATCACAGCAGGGCAGGGCTGCGGTCTGTGTCCCCTGCTCCTCGGGCCTGTGTTCACAGGGATCCGCAGCACCTGTGCCGGCCTCCTCCCGTGTTTTATCCACTGCGGCGCCGACAGGACCTCCGGCGAAGCCCCGCCCGTGAGCGCGTCCGCACTTGGCCTCTCGCGATCACGGCATCCTGTCCCTGCTCCGGCGCCTGGGTCCTTCTGGCCCTGACCTCACTGCCCAGGGCTGGCTTTCTCTCCCTTCAGGGCACGGCCTCCTCACCCTCATTGGTCGACCTTGGCCGGGCCTGGGCTTGGGGCGCGGCGACTGGACCAGGCCCTCCAGGACCCTTTGCGGCTCGTGTCTCTAGGGGGACACTCGCGGGGTGTTCCCGGGATGGGGTACTTCTCAGCGGCACTTATGGGGGAAGTTGGGTCCGAGGGGTGCAGCTGGTGACCTGGTCCACACCCCCCCCCCCGGTCCTCGCCTGCGGTCGTGGCCTCCAGCCCTGCACCTGCCCCACGCTCCTGTGTCCCCCCAGGGTCTTGGGTACTGAGTATGGCCAGGTGCCCTCCTCCCCTCTCTGTCCCTTCTTGGCTGAGCTCACCGTTGGTGAGCAAGGAGTCACTTGGTGCCTGAAGTGTGCCTGCCCTGGGGTGGGGGCCAGAGACCTGGACGAGGGGCACCTAGTGTCCCAGGAGGGTGGTGAGACAGAGGAAACGGGGTGCACTGGGGGCAGCACAGGCACTCGGAGGGGGCGGGGAGGGGTGGGGGCTGTAGACTCCTGTGGCCCAGTCAGGCTTTGCTGGGACGCGGGGCTCAGGGCTTCGTTCCCACAGGCCCCCTCCGCTGCTGGGGCTCAGCAATGAGGCGGGCGGGGAGTGGGGGTGCCAGGCTGGGGCCAGGCCAATGGCAGTTTTGGGGTCTGGGTCTGTGGCTGTCTTGGTTGTGGGGCCTGTGAGGTGATGGCTGATGTTTTGCCTTCTGGGTTGTTTAGATTCTTTATTTATAATACCCAAGATTTTCCCCCCTCCTTTTTGGGGGACAATTTTTATTTTTCTTTCTGTTTTTTCTTTCTTGGTGGCGAAAAGCTGATGTTAAATGTATGATCTTAACCATTTTTAAGCGTATGGGTCAGCAGTGTTGTGTGCATTCACACTGCTGTGCAACAGATCCCCAGAACCTTCTCCTCTCCCCTCTGTGCAACTCTGTCTCCATTAAACACCCACCCCCACCCGTCCCCAGCTCCAGGCACCCCCATCCGCTTTCTGTCTGTATGGATTTGACTCCTCTACGGACCTCTGATGTGTAGATTACACGGTGTTTGTGTCGCTCAGGAAAATGTGCTCATGGTTCATCCACGTGGTAGCAGGTGTCAGAATTTCCTTCCTTAGAATAACGCGCGGTAAGATTCCATTTATCGAGACACCACGTTTTCTTTGTCCATTTTCTTCCTGCTGTTGGCCGCAGTGAACAGGGGTGTGCAAATATCCCTCCTTCTGGTGATGGAGGCGCCCGCGCAGCCCCAGAGACACTGGCACGTGAGCCGGGTGCAGGGACCAGATGGGCATGGGGCTCGTTTCCCTGGGGGGACTCGACTCGGCCGCGGCGGGCGGTTGTCCCCTGAAGTCAACGTCCCGGAGTTTCAGACCTCACACTGGACACTGCCGTCTGAACTGGCTGAGCCACGCGGATTTCGGCCTGGCATTTGCTCTCTTTTCATCACAGCAGCTGCTGTAAAACCAGCTTTGCAGAGATACCGCAGAAAGGAAAGCAGAGCGGTCCGGTCCGCCATCCACGAGGGGGTGTCCGGCTTGTGGCGCTCACCTGTTTCCCTCAAAATTCGCGACACCTTGTGCTGCCCCTGAGGATTCGCCGTGGCACCCGGGGGTGCCTAGACCCCACGGTTTGGGAACTGCGGCCCCCACCAACGCCGGTGTTTGTGGCCTGCCTTCCGTTTCTCTCCACGTGGTGCGGGTTTAAAGCCTCGTGCGCAACTCACCACCGCTTCTGGCTCTTGTTTCCACTTGATGGCTCAGCCAGAGGAGCAGAGCCGGGAGGAGATTCGACGGAAGCGTCCTGAGATGGCTGCAGTTTCATCGTGGCCCCGGCGTTAACGCCTCACCCCTCGGCAGCGGGGAGGGGCAGGTGTCCTTATTCTCCCGCCGCAAGGGTGCAAACCCAAGGTTTCTCCATCAACCGCTGCTTTCCGTGCCTGGAGTTTGGTAACATTTAATTAACTAATTTAGAGCAAGTGCATTAGTGGGGGAGGGGCAGAGAGGGAGGGAGAGAATCCCAAGCAGGCTCCGCGCTGTCTGCTCAGAGCCCAACGCGGGGCTCGATCCCACAACAGCGAGATCATGACCTGAGCCGAGATCAAGCGTCTGATGCTCAACCAACAGCCACCCAGGCGCCCCTGGTTTTCTAACGTTTAGAAAGTTTTCTTCCACTCTTAATTTCCTAAGGGCTTTTTCAGAATCATGAACTTTACTCATCAAGACAATCTTATGATTTTCTCCTTCACCCGTTTGTAATGAAATACATTAACTACACCACACGCTTTCCCAAGTTGAGCCATCCTTGTATTCCTGTAAGTAGCCCTGTTTGATCACGACGTTTACCTTTTTTTTTTAATATTTATTTATTTATTTATTTATTTTTTACAATTTTTTTTTTCAACGTTTATTTATTTTTGGGACAGAGAGAGACAGAGCATGAACGGGGGAGGGGCAGAGAGAGAGGGAGACACAGAATCGGAAACAGGCTCCAGGCTCTGAGCCATCAGCCCAGAGCCCGACGCGGGGCTCGAACTCCCGGACCGCGAGATCGTGACCTGGCTGAAGTCGGACGCCTAACCGACTGCGCCACCCAGGCGCCCCTATTTATTTATTTTTTGAGAGAGAGGGGGAGAGAGAGAGCGAGCTCAAGCAGGGGAGGGACAGAGAGAGAGGGGGAAGGAGGACGCAAAGCGGGCTCTGCACTGACAGCATGAGCCTGATGCGGGGCTCGAATTCACAAACGGGGAGATCATGACCTGAGCTGAAGTCTGACGCTCAACCGACTGAGCCACCCAGGCGCCTGTGATCGTGTAACTTTTTAATATCCAGCTGGTTTCGCTTCGCTAAAATCTTAGGGAGTTCGTTGTCTACGTTCAAAATGAAACCCGGCTGCATTTTCCCCTTTCTCGTTGCACTTCCCTTACTGTGTTTTGGAATCCAGATCACGTTGGCCTCGTCACAGCCTTTGCGATCTGTTTTCTGGAATAGCCTGTGAAGGTAGCAACCACTGTTCCTTGAAAATTTAGGAGAACCATCTGGAACTTGGGGTTGTCAGAAGGGAAGATTTTGGTTATTATTTCAATTTCTTTAATATTTACCTGCTCAGGAATAAACTGCCCACATTTAAATACAATTTTGGTACTTTATATGAAAAACCTAAATAATGGTTTATCTACTTTCCCTGGTCATTCTGTTAATTATTGCTTGGCATACTTTGAGGCTACATTGTTAGGTATTTATATATTTATAAGAGATAAATCTTGTTTTATTGTTCCTTTTTACCAGCACATAATTTCATTCTGCGTGCTTTACGCTATTTTTCTGCTCTAAAGTATATTTGGTTGTACCCCGAGATGATGTTGGAGCCCTCTATTGGTTCATATTTGCATGGTATAGGCTGGTCTGTCCTTTATTTTCTAACCTTACTGTGTCTTAAAACAAACCATGTGTTTTTTTTTTTTAATACAGCATATTGTTGACTTATTTTATTCCAACATTAAGAGTCACTGTTTGTTTTTTTTTTTTTTTATTTTTTAAAGTCATCTCTACACACAGTGTGGGGCTTGAACCCACAACCCCAAGGTGAAGACTCACACACCCTTCCAACTGGGTAGCCGCACCCCACAGTCTCTGTGTTTTCTCTGATTAATTGTACACTGATTACAGGACTTCGCATTTTATTTTTATCTGGAATTTACTTTTGTTTCCTTCTTTTCCTTTTTTTTTTTCAAGTTTATTTATTTATTTTGAGGGAGAGAGAGAGAGAGCACGAGTAGGGGAGGGGCAGGGAGATACGGAGCCAGAGAGAATCCCAAGCAGGTTCTGAGCTGTCAGCACAGAGCCCGACATGGGGCTCGAACCAATGAACCA